GACTTCAAAAAGAAAAGAAAGGCCTAAGTCATGTGACTGCACCTGTGTCCCTGTATTTAGGGGACTTCAGAGAAGCAGTACCCATGCCTGAAACTCAAGGACATGTAGGAAATGAGAGTTGTTTTTGTGTCCCCATCCGTGTCCTTCCTCGGACACCCCAACCTTGAAGAAAGTGGAGCCCCAAGTGAGGATAAGTGGGGGCAAGGCTCATTGTGCTTAGGGTGGTCAGAGACCAGCCCTCACACACCATGTCTAAATGGGGGCAGTCCTCTGTCCTGGTCTCCAACCACCCACCCCGAGAATAGAGGCCTCACTCTAGCCTGAAAGACCCTTCTCTGACACCCGACCTTCCATTTCCACAACCCCGGTGGAAGAACAGTGAAACCACCTTTGCAAAATTATAACCAAGGAGATTATAACAGTGAAACATCAGACCTAACCACTCCATCTTGCTTCTAACATCTAAACTCTCCTTATCCATTCCTGGGTGTAGGCAGAACTAGCCTTGGGAAGGAATTTAGTTTGTAAACTAAATCTAATAGCCCTTCCCCAAAGCTAAACTCTTCTTGTAAAATGAAAGAAAGGCCACCAGCCATCAAGTTAGAATAAGAAGAGCTGGAATTCTAAGTATTACCAGCCATTATTCTGGAGGAAATGAGATTTGCAACTTCCCCAATCACTCTTGAAGGTGACATCACTATTGTGAACCTAAGATCAGCCTTTTGAGATGGCTTTTCAGGTTTTTGCATTTCAAACAACCGGATGGCCCCACCTGGACTTGTCAACCAGATCTGTGGCCCCCACCCAGGGTCTGACTCAGCAGAAGAGAACAGCTTCCACTCCCTGTGATTTCAACCCCCAGCCAACCAGCCAGCACTCCCGATTCACTGGCCCCCTACCCACCAAATTATCCTTTAAAACTCTGTAAAAGCTCACGCCTGTAATCCCAGCACTTTGGGAAGCTGAGGTGGGTGGATCATTTGAGGTCAGGAGTTCAAGACCAGCCTGGCCAACGTGATGAAACCCTTTCTCTACTAAAAATACAAAAATTAGCTGGGCGTGGTGGTGGGCATCTCTAGCCCCAGCAACTAGGGAGGCTGAGATAGGAGAATCGCTTGAACCTGGGAGGCGGAAGTTGCAGTGAGCAGAGATCGCGCCACCGCACTCCAGCCTGGCCAACAGAGCGAGACTCCGTCTCAAAACAAGAAGAAGAAGAAAAAAAACCACTCTGATCCCCGACTCAGGAGACTGATTTGAGTAATAATAAAACTCCAGTCTCCGGCACAGCTGGCTCTGGGTGAATTACTTTCTCTATTGCGCTTCCCCTGTCTTGATAAATTGGCTCTGTCTGGACAGCAGGCAAGGTGAACCCCTTGGGGAGTTACAATAGGAGGAAGGATGTTCCGAAGCGGGCAAGTCTGTGCAAACCTATCCCCAAAGTCCAAGGAAGCTGAGGGGCCCAAGGAAGAGTGGAACCGCCCAATGGTTTCACCTTGCCCGCTGCCTAGACAGAGCTGATTTATCAAGACAGGGGAAGTGCAATAGAGAAAGAGTAATTCATGCAGAGCCAACTGTGCTGGAGACTGGAGTTTTATTTTGACTCAAATCAGCTTCCCCGAGCATTCAGGGATCAGGGTTTTTAAGTATAATTTGGTGTATGGGGGAAGGCCATTGAGTCAAGAGTGTTGATTGGTTGGGTTGGAGATGATATCCCAGCGAGTTGAAGCTGTCCTCTGGCACTGAGTCAGTTCCTGGGTGGTGAGGCTACAAGATGGTTAAGCCAGTTTATCCGTCTGGGTGGTGCCAGCTGATCCATCAGGTGCAGGGTCTGCAAAATATCTCAAGCACTAGGCTGGGCATGGTGACTCACACCTGTAATCCCAGCACTTTGG